TTATATTTTTCTACAAATCTATAGTAATAAATAGCACAGAATTTTAAAAAACAGACCTGTGAATTAATGAATCAAAATAAAAGAATACAGAAACAACTCCAGGCATATTCAGCTACCTTATCTTTGACAATAGTGCCAAATGCTTTTTCTGGAAGAAAAATAGCCTCTTTAACAAAGGTACTGGAAAAATTGGCCAAAGATTGAACTAAGATTCATATCTCTCATCATGCACTAAATTAAAATCAAAATGGATCAAAGATCTAAATATGAAAACAGAAACAATCTGCTGGACCATGAAAGGGATAAAACACATACATGAAGATAGAGTTTTAGGTGAAAATTTTGTGAGTGGAACTCTAGTTGCACAAAAAATACCAAGAATCAACAAATGGAATTATATCAAGTTAAAAAGCATCATCAGCATAGCAAAAAAAACTAACAACTTAGTGAAGCGACAAATCACAGAATGGGGGAAAAATTGCCACTACTTCTCAGACAAAAGACTAATATCTAGAATCTATAAAGAACTCAAACATTTTAGACCTCCAAATTTAAAGGCACGATTAAAAATGGACATCTGAAATGAACAGACACTTCTCAGATGAAGTACAAATGGCCAAAAAAATACATGGAAAAGTGTTCAACATCACTGGACATTTGGAGAAATGCCAATTAAAACAACATGGGAATTTTATCTCACTCTAGGAAAAATGGATATCATCAAGAAATCAACCAATAACAAATGCTGGTGAGACTATAGGGGAAAAGAAAATTTACATAATTTTTGATGGGACTGTAAATTGGTAGAATTGTGAGAATCAAAGATTCTTCAAAGACTAAAAATTGAAGTTCCTTTCAACTTGGCTATTCTTCTTGGTATCTTTCTGAACATTTTAAAGACATCATACAACAATGCTGTGTTCATACCCATGTTTATGGTAGTACACTTTATTATAACTAAATCTTGGAAGCAGACTATGTGTCCTATTCATAAAGGATAAACTTGTGTCATTTGTGGAAAAACCAATGCACCTTGAGACGCTGTTAGGCAAAATAAATCAGAAACACAAGCTTAAATATTATATGGTTTTCTCATATATAAGAAACTCAATATAACTGTTGGGAAAGAGAACAAGAAGTCACCAAAAAGCAAGCCCTCCCAGCAAACCAGAGCCATGCATGGGCTGATGAGGGGACAGCCAGATGCCAGCCCCTTCTGGCCCACTGTCTGGGAAACAAGAGCCACCCCACCCCACCCCACTATAAGCAACCAGCCAATCTGGAGAAACACAGGTTGCAATGATAGCTACTGAGGTAAAATACAATTTAATGCTTGTAGTATTTTGTGTTTCACTGACTTTACAAGTCTAAAGCCAGTAATCTGATCATCTATCTATTCAGAGGATAATGATGTGCATTGTGGCATCTATGGGGATCTCCTTCTGAAGGTGGTAGCCACTGTTAATTCCCTATTATTTTGTTTTGAAGCCACGTATCATTTTCATTGTTTTGTTGAGTTGGATTTTATTCTATTTTGTTTTGTTTGATTTTGTTATATCTGATGGCACAGGCAGCTATTTCAAAGATACCAAGATAACATACTATTTTCTTGTTTTGAAGTTCTTTATTGCACTCATTGTTTTGTTTTTATTGGTTCTATTCTGTTCTGTTTTATTTGATTTTTACCTCATCTAAAGGTATCTGCAGCTATTTTAAAGACAAGAGATATTATGGTAACCAATATTGATTTCATGTTGTTTTGAAGTCCTGTGTTTGTTTTGATTACACTGGTTTGTTTTGATTGGCTTTTTTGTTTTATTTTGCTTGGTTTTATTCTCTTTAAAGAAAAAATAAAAAAAGAAACTTAATATATTTTTAAAAGTACAAAATAAAAAAGGAGAGTAAAGAAAGTTATTGGAACCCAGCATGGACAATACAAATAAAAGTGTACCTTGATTTGGTATAATTGTCTTATATATTTTAATATGATATTTTGCCTGTCTGACTGTTAATCCATATATATTATAATTCACTTTATAAAGACATAAATAAATGAATCTGATGCTGGCAAAAAATTTTTTTTAATGGGATGGAAGGGAAGGATTAAAAAGAGTTGGGGATTTAGCTCAGCAGTGTAAGCGCTTGCCTGGTAAGTGCAAGGTTATGAGTTTGATCCCTGGTACCAAAAAAAAAAAAAAATTGAGATGTATTGTGTACATGCACCAATGTCCCGTAATGAATGAAATCATTTTGTACTGCAAACATGTACTAATAAAAATTTAAAACTTTTAAAATCTTTTATCTGTTTTCACATTGAAGATCATGTTGTCTTTAGAAAGGAAAGGATAACAGTAGTATGTTCCAGTGCTAATGCTGGCCCTTTCCATACCTCAAAACAGATCACCTTGGTGATTTCAAATAGTTAGATTTCAACACTAGTTAGATCAGATCCATTGTGTTCTGTATTCTGAACCATTCAAGATACTTAGGAAATGCTTAGATTAGAGATGTCCCCTTGGAAAATCCACAGAAACCATTCTAATGGTTTGCTCTTTTGGTCTCAGGATCATTCACTCTCAACTGGAGATTGTCAAACATATCAAGTAGATAACAGGCTGTCGGTCAAAGCTAGAGAACAGAAGCAACGAGGGGAAAAAGAGAACACCATTATCAAAACAGAAGTGAGGGGCCCAGGCTGATTGTGGCTCTCTAGTTGCTAATGGCTTTAGGGGCTGCCAACCAAGTGAAGCAGTCATTCTATACAGAGAGCTTCCAGTCTTACAAAGCCAAAGCAAGAGGTATCAAACCAAAAGGAGGAAGTTAGGGGAGATTTTATTGGGAAGAAGAAGAAAAGAAAGTTCTAATTTTACAGGAAGAAAATCCAAACAGGAGAATTTCCACATCAACCTTAATTAAGAACTTTTTATGGATCAGTAGCGCAAGAAAATTGTTCAGTTATTTAATGGTCAACTGTCAGATGTGGCTCTGTGGGTTTAAAATGACCTGTTGGAACTCAGGCTTTTTCCCTTTGGTTTTTATTTTGATACAGGGAGCCAAACTCAGGACCTTGCACCTGCCAGGATGATGCTGTGCCACTAAGCTGTATCCCCTTGGTTTTTATTTTGAGACAGCGTCTCACTGTGTAGCCCAGGCTGGCCTCAAATTCACAGTAATCCTCCTGGCTCAGCCTCCCAAATGCTGGGATTAGAGGCATGTGCCACCATACCTGGCTGATTTTCAGTTACTCAGCTTGTAGGATTTAAAGGAAACTGGGATTTTTAAAAATTGGTTATTTGCATTTTAACTTCCTGGAAACTCAGGAGCTTAGAACTCAGGAGTTTAGTAGGGTGAGATTGCATTCCACATTGTCTGAGAAAGTTCAAGCTCAGTCCAAAGTTCACTGCCTATTTTTACTTTAATTCTTGTCACTGTGGCTGATCACCCAACTTCTAGTTTTCTTACTCATAATATAACTACATACTAGATTCTTTACACAAGGGTCTCACTATTCAGACTGTCAAATTGGCAGGGCACTGGTTCTGGAAAAGGTATCCAGCCTCCATGGTTCTTCATGGATGACTGTACTGAGCCTTTCAAAAGTAAAGAGCCTTAGGTGAGAGCCAGGGGGATACTGAAATCCCAACACTATGAGAGACCAAGGCAGAACTGCAAGTTTGACTTCAGCCTGCAAAACGTATCAAGACCCTGACTCAAAATAAAAAATCTAACTAGGTACAAAGGCCATGGGTTCTATCCCTAGTGTATGTGCAAGAGGTCTGAAGGTGAGGAGAAAAATAAGTTCCTTATTGGGCTTTCTGGCTAATCCTGACTAGAAGTTAAAATTTTACTGCAGAAAGCAATTAATTAGACAAGAGGAAGACTATTGTCTGGTCTTAAAAACCTAAAATGCCTTCACCATCCTGTTCTGATCAGTTTTATACTATTCTGTTCTGTATGAATTCACTGTGTGTGAAGATGTGGACAACTATTTGAAAGAAAATGAGACAATAATGATAGACAGTAAAGATCTCCAGTGGTATTTCTTTGAAATCTGTATCTCTTATATTGTTTTCTTATGATCTGTTTTGTTATGTTTAATTTTACCCTCTTTAAAATAAAAAAAATAAAATAAAGAGGCAGAGCTGACAGAACTCTTATTTAATATATAAAAATGCACACACCCATACATCTATACATATACACAGATACTCCCACTCTAGGGTCAGTATATTGCTGCACTAGATAACATGCATCCCCTTAATCACTAGCTTTAAGTAACTGTTATGGTTTGTGTGTAAATGTCCCCCCAAAGCCTCATGTGGTCATGGGGGGTGGTTCTAGCATTTGAGACTGGTTCATTGTCTAGCACTGGCATTGGTGGTGTGCATGCTGTACCCACCCAGGAGCAGGTAGCCGACCTATAAGGGAGGGAAGGAAGCCTGGTTTTCCCTTTTTGCCCTTTTTGCTCTTGTCACTTATGTCTGCCCTAACAGCTGCCCCTCTGCCATGACACCCTGTCTTGGAGCCAGCTGAGTATGGACTGAAACCTCCAAAAACTATAAGCCAAATAAACCTTTCCTTTCTTCATTTGGGGGATCAAGTATTTTGTCTCAGGAAATGAGGGGAAGGTAACCAAGACAGTAACCTTACCTGTAAGGCTTCTCCTAATCTGTCACAGAAAAGGACAAGTGGGCAAGGAAAAAACAAACAAAGCCCACTCAAAGGCATTGTAGACAAGGGGACCCAGATTAGGGTCTTGGGGCCTGGGATCTATCTATGACTGTCCAGAGAGCCAATCAGGTTGTGACAAGTTCCAGATACCAATGAGGCGGCAGAAAGACATAATAGAAGAAAGATTTTATTTGAGGAAAATGGTCCGTGGTTATTCAATTTTTCTGTCCCCCTGCCCTGATACAGCACAGCTTTCTATCTTTCTTTTTTACCTTTTTTTCAGATAAAGTATCTCCCTTTCTAAACTTAATTTCTTTAATTCATTACAGGAGCTGAGTTGACAACCCAGTGAGCTTCTCAGACAACAAAGCAGTGGTGTGTTGCATACCCCATGCAACACCGTATCATCAAAATAGAACAAAGATAAAGAGCCTCAGGACAGGCAGTGACCTGTAAGCAAGGCATGAACACAATTATGTTCCACGCAAAAAATTAAAAACCTAAAATGCCTTTATATGGGCTGGCTTCTCTTATTCTAACTGCCACTGAAAAATGGAACTTTAAAAGTTAAATTTTTTTTCTTTGGGGACAAGCAGCTTTTCCCAAACTCCCTCAGGCCTATGGTATAAATAGTCAGCTCACCTCTCCTCAGCCCAGATCAATACAGAATATTCAGATGCTGGCACCAAAAGACCAAGTCCAGTTCCATTTCTTTGTGGGGAAGAGAGAGTCCCAGGTCCAAGAAGACACAAGCCAGCACTTGTCTGTCCTTGTATCCTCTCCCCACACTTTTGCTTGCCCTAAAAGGCCCTAACACACGTATACATGGGGAGATGATGATCTGAGCCAAATGGACCCCTTTACCTCCTCAGACTCTTGGGAGCTTTGAATAAATCCTTTTACTTTTTTCCAAAATTAATAACCTCCTTAAATTTGCTCAATAGCAAGTAAATGAACTGAGCATATGAACCTAAGTGGCTGGTGTTGTCACCAGACTGAGTCTGTGACTGTTCCCACAGCTGAGATATGGAATCCAACCAATACTTGTGGAATAAATTCACAGGTCAGCTGACTCTCACTGTGGGAAAAATTTTCAGGATATATGGGAAGAATTATATTAGGCAAAAATGAAACTCTGAAAGATACAGAGCCAGCTGAGGGGTGTTCTCGTGAGATGGGAATGTGGTTTATTTATGGGGTCTTGGGTGTTTTCAAAATGGCTTATCTAAGATGTGTTCCCACTGTCTGTCACATTACCCATCTGGCAGACGATGCCACGTACATGTGTTTAAAGCTGAGATATGCTGTCCACTGATATTGCTTGTACTTCCTTGAGGGTGGGGACAACACAAATTTACAGGTAGAAAGATCCAGGGCCAAATTCTCAGGTTTATTGTCTTTAAGACCTTTAGAAAATTCTTGGTGAGTTTCCTGGAAGAAAAAAAAGTTTGAGTAAACTGTTTCCTGAAGCTGCAGTTTTCTTAACAGTATGATTTTAAATCCCAGTTTCCCTTGGCTCCTTTTTGCCCATTATCCTTTCTTTCTAGTGGCCTCTTCTTGGTTGGGGTCATAACTCTGCAGCAGAGCTCTCACCTAACACATATGAGGTCATGGCTTCAACTCCCCAGCAGCGCAAACAGCCTGCTTCACTAATATTTTGAGTCTTTGGTGGTTTGACAATTAAAGGCAATTATTTAAAAATATAAGTCCTCAAGCCAATTTGCCCTTCCCATGAGCCAGCACAAGCTATGCATCCCAGGAGGAGAAACAAGCCAATTTGCCCTCCCTGTAAGTCAGTGGAACCCATGCTGGGCCTGGGAGGAGAAACAAGATGTCAGTTCACCCGTCCTGTGAGTCAATTGGTGCATGGGCTGGGAGACAAGAACACCCCGCCCTATGGAGCGACTGGCTGATTCAGAGGACAGGCTGAGTTGACAGTAGCCAAAGTACCAAAACAGCTTAATGCTCATATTGTCTGACTGAGTTTTGCAGGTCTAAGGCTGGTAGTCTGAGCATCTATAGGGAGGATAACAATATGCAATATAGCAAGCATGAGGGATTCCCTTCTGTCTTGATTTTGAAATCCAATATTGTTCTGTTTTGCTGTTTTGTTTTATTCAATGTTCTGTTTTGATTGGTTTTATTCTGTTTTGACTTATTTGATTTTATTATATCTGATGGTATGGGCAGCAATTTTTAAAAAATTTTTATTTAAAGAAAAACTAAACAAAACAGAAAATAGGTAGAAATAATACATAGGTTCAGAGAAAAAATAAACAGTAAGAAATCACTAGTTGATGTTTACATATTGTCATTTTACAAATAGTTGCTCAAGATACAAAAATGGAACATGTAAAGTGGGAATTCAAACAGCGAGACTGCAAATAGTTCTGTTCAACGGTCCAACAAAAACTTAGTAACGTGGTTGTCAATCCTATACACTTAAACATACATGCAGTTATCCATATCTTCATTTATGTTTAGATTAAACAAACTAAAGCAGGTTAAAATCATTCTGAACAAATAATAATAGTATTGCAGGATTTCACATCATGACACTCCATGATCAGCACTGGGTACTATAGTGTCTTTTTTTAAAAATTTAATTTAAAGAAAGACTAAACAGAAAATGGATAGAAATAATATATAATTTCAAAGAAAAAAATAAACAGTAAGAAATCACTAGTTGAAGATTACAGATTGTCTTCTTACAAATAGTTATTCAAGATACTAAAGTGGAGCTTATAAAGTGGGGATTCAAACAGTGAGATTGCAACCAGTTCTGTTCAACTATCCAACAAAAACTTAGAAATATGGTTATCAATTCTATACACTTAAACATACATGCAGTTATCCATCTCTTCAATTATGTTGAGATTAAATAAACCCAACCAGACTAATATCACTCTGAACAAAGAATAATACTATTACTGGATTTCACATTATGACACTCCAGGATCATCACTGGGCATTTTAGTGTCTTTTTTTCTTCAAAGTATCTGTTCATTTCATCATGTGTCATAAGGTCAGTTCTCATAAACTGTGAGTCTTAATATGTATTTCTATCCTTTCTATATTAGAGGGAGAAACAAAACAAAGCAAGGCAAAACAAAACATATTCTTATAAACACATGAAACAAAATAAACATATAACAAATCGTTCTATTATGGTTCCTGTGTTGTCTCTTGTTATCTCCAAGAGAATTGGCTATATTATCAGATATAGTATAATTGAATATATCAGTGCATAACATTAATAAAAACACAACTGTATATAATATAGAACTTCAAAAACCGGCAGTTATCAAACCAGAATGTGTATCGTTGAATCTTGTCATCTTCAGTGTAGTTGCCTATACTCTCAGACTTGATACTATCAATCATATCAGTTTTGAATAAAATATTCTCTGCCTCATTTCTCTTATGCTCTTTTTTTGCCATCAGTTGTCTGCTTATCTTCTTCATTCCATTTTCTGCTCCATGCATTGAGGCCTCTCTACCATTGTTCCTGGAATCCTAGTACTTTTCTTTCTCTCTAGAATGACCTGCAGTATTCTTTGTAGAGTTGGATTGGTGGTTGCAAATTTCCCAAGTTCCTCTTTGCCTTGGAAGCATCTTGTTTCTCCATTAATTTCTAGAGACAGTTTAGCAGGGTATATCAATCTGGGATGGAGGTTATTTTCTTTCAGGGCTTGGAATATTTCACTCCAGGGCTCTTCTCAACTTGATGGTTTGTGTCAAGAAGTCTGCTGTTATTCTGATGGGCCTTTCTCTGTAGGCTATCTGTTTCTTGTCTCTAACAGCTTTTAATATTCTGTTCTTATATTGAATTTCTGGGATCTTGATTATTATATGCTTGGGTGTAGCTGTTTTGGTTGTAGGTGGCTGGAGTTCTGTATGCCTCATATATCAGAATATCATTTCCTTTTCCTATGTTTGGGAAGTTTTCCTTAATTATTTCTGTGAATAACTTTTGTAGTTCCTTTGTATCCCAGCTTCTTCATTTACATTCTTTATTCTCAAGTTATAGAACTTTTTGTCATCTTCTAGCCTTTGTATTGTTACGGTTTGTTTCCTTGTTATTTTAAAAAAGTTTTTGGTTTCATACTCCCACATTGAAAAATTGTCCTCCAGTTTGGATAATCTATCCTTAGTTTCTTTCAAGCTGATTTGCCATCTTTCCGTAGAGTTTTAAATTTCCTGGTGATCTTTTTGAATCTGCTTCATGTATTCTATATTTTTTTATATTCTTCACCAAATGGTTCCCTCCTATGTTTGAGTTCCTTCCTTCTTCCATCTGTGACTGCTTGAGAGGTGCTTAGTATCTCTTTTATTAATCTTATATCTTACTTTATTTGGCTAAATATTTCACTTTTGAACTTGTCTATCAGGTCCTGAATATATCTTTTTATGTCCACTGGTGCTGTGTTTGATATTGCATGTTTACTGTTCTCTTTCTCCTTTGTATTTACCTGTCCTGGGTCAATGTTCTCAGGGTTGGGGCCTGGGAACTTTTTGTTGTTGCTTCCTCTTCCCATCTTTTTTGCTTCTTCCAGGAGGTCCCAGTTTCTTTCTTTGTTGGTTAGAATTCTTCCAAAGCCCGCTGGCTAGATGACCCTTCACACTGCAGTGTGCTAGTGAGTTGCAGACAGGGACAGTGTACGCTGGCCCTTCCCCTCCAGATCAGTCAAGCTGCTGTGGCCTGCACTACTATGTTATTTTGTGCTGCCTCCCCTCATGACCAGCCAAACCTCCAAGGCCCCCCTGGGCCAGTGTGGTTAGTGTGTGCCACCAATACAGGGACTTGACCTCAGATAGCCTATTGGGTCTTAGCCTAGTCACATGACTCAGGCCTAGCTCACTCCACCAATCGTGATTGGGAAGGGAACAATTGACTGAAATCACTGCTGCCCCTTGTACTTGCCAGTCTTGCCCAATCCCAGAATGTTGTCTGACAGAGCCCCCCTATTTATGGAATGGCTCCATTCCCATCACTCACCACAGCTTGATGTAGGCTCCCCGCCAACTCAGATCTTTGTTTGGCTCACTGACCCTCGAACTCCATGTAACTGTGCCTCCAGTGAGTTGAAGCAGTGGGACCTTGGACAGCTCGGCAAGTCGTGGCAGGACCCCAGCCAGTTGCGGTGGGACTCCGGCAAGTCATAGAGTCAGCCAGTTGTGTTGGGACCTCAGATGGTCAGCAAGTCACCTTAATTTCTTCTTGGGATGAGAGAATTCATCTCCCTCTGTTTGGGGCTCCCCACTCTGTATTATGTTGAATTCTAAGTTGACTATCTCAGGGAGCTTCTGTAGCCAGTTGTTATCTATCCATCATCTTTGCTCCTCCTCTGGTTTTGCTATTTTCGTGGGCAGCAATTCTGAAGATAACAAGAGACATTATAATAACCATTGTTGATATCCTATTATTCTGTTTTGAAATCTCGTATCTCTTTCACTGTTTAGATTGGCTTTATTCCATTTTATTTTTTTGGTATCATTCTCTTTAAAAT